CCAATGATTTCAAAGGATGAATTCAAAGGATGAATTGAGAAAGACTCAACTCGAGGACACGACCATGAGTTGGGTTGTGTGAGAGAAGGTGAGGGGTAAGGGTTGCCGTGCTTGGAAAGATGTATCTCCCGACTCTCCTGAGTTTAAGACTTACCGGTAGAGTTGGGACCAGTTATGGCCGGCGACCATTTAGACCCGGTTTGAAAAGGGCCCCCCGGTAAGCTCGCTTGGTTGCAAAAACCCCTTTCATACCGGCCTGGCTACTGGCCTGGGATGCTGGACTGGTTGTTGATCTCGAACTTCTTCATCCTGGGGTTTATTGTTTGCAAGTACTGGTACATGTAATCTATGCCAGAAGGAACCTGCTTGTGGTTTTTAATCCTTCAGCTCTATACAATGTTTACACTAATCCGCTTAGACCCCTATTCATCTGTGCAAGCATGGTGGGGGAAGCCTTTCATCAGGGACTTTGAAATGCCAATGTGCAGACAGGCCTTATACCGGCCTGGAGTAGGCTGAATACCGGGCAGGCATTATCCCGGATGGGCTACCGGGGGGCCCTTTTCAAACCGGGTCTAAATGGTCGCTGTCCCTTAGAAGTCAGAGAAGGGGTGCTGTACAAGAAGTGGGAGTCAAATGACAGCAAATCAATCAACTGGTTACTGGTTTGCTGCAGAAGCTTAGGAAAGAAATCCTATCAGAGGTACATGGTGGACAAGTGAGTGGCCACCTGGAAATGAGTAAGACCCTGCCCAAGATGAAGTACAGACATTTCTGGGCCACTGCCGAAGACGGACAGTGGCCCAAACTCAAGGGCCAAGGCAGATAGTTTAGGTTTAGGTCACGTGACTTTCCCCACAGTTGGAAACAATTCGCCCAGACTGGTAGGACCTAGGCTGGCTTGTGGGAATAAAATGCCACAATACCATAAAACTTGTTTCATTTGTGTGTCATATACAATAGCACAACTTTACTGATTCTGCTAATGTTCTGCTCCTGGTGGCCTTCAATTGAAGCTTCTGCAAAATAAATTAATATGACGTATCGGGATAAATCCACCTTAAGTAAATTTATGATGAAAATTGTATGGTGCTTATTTATTAAATATGGCGACGGACATTGTCGGCATACAGACTGGGTTCAAAAGATGCCTTCTTTTGTAAAAAAGGACGAATGCAGTAATTTTTGTCATGGGAATTTTATTGGGACAGTCAGATAGTAAACTCTTGAGTAGTCAACTGTTGTAAGTGAAATTGTCTGGCTGTTTTTATTTCGGAAGTTCAAAGTTCCCGACAATCTGCGCTAAGATTCCATACAAGTAGGGCTGTAGTGGCGAAAGTTAAAAGATGGATTTCAAAAGAGAGCCATGATGTACGGCCCTACATGTGTGGGGTTAGGTCGTGCCCGCTGCCCATGTCAGGTGCATGTCGAATTATTATTGGAAGGATTCTTCAACTTATTACAAGCTGGAATAAATATTTATTGAATGTAAGAATTTCTACAGCCATACCGTTAGAATTGTTTGTAACCAGATTGAGGACTCGGAGGGGAGAGAATTTATGATAACCGCAACTAAAATCCCTTTCAATATTGTCCACCATCTTGTTTTGCACCATGCGTCCTAATCATGCATGCCTTCAATGTGGTCCAACAAGCATCACTAGCACTTACATGGACCAACGTGCCATGGGCACGGTGAAATTTGCTCCTTCGTAGCATGTGCTGTGGCGCAACCACCTCCCAGGCTACCAGTCAGAGGTTGCACATTCGAGTCAGCTACTAGAGTTATCCCAAGGGGCGTGTGGGGAGTATGTATATACTGGCTCCAGATAATGTGCACGCATCCTATCAATTAAGCCACCAGGAGTAGCTGCTCAAGCACATGGGTTTACAACATTTACGAGAACATAATGTAATTTGACGCAACATCCAAGATGAGAAAAGATGGTGGATGATCAAAAGAAAACAGGCTAAATCGGTATAAAGTGTGCCTTTCCAAACATTTGAAAGCTAGCCTTTTCTGAACAAACTTAGAAAAAATGCAGTGTAAATATCCTGCTTTTATTTTTTTGCGCCTCAAAAAAGTGGGGAGCCATGCCCCTCCCGGGTCTGACGGCCATGCTTCAAAAGTTGATCTATAGCAGGGCGTCCACTCCAATTACTGGCCTTTTGGGTGTTTACTGGACATTTTACCAGAAGAAACTTTTACAAAGCTCAGTATGTGTGAATTACGACAAGATCTACAGGGCAAAGTTGACTAAATATGTGTAAAAGTTTTGGGGGGCATTGGCCAGTGGTGTTCATTTTAGAGGGGTAGGGGATAAGACATGAAAAAGAGCACTTGGAATGGGGGGATTGACAACACCTTTTTATGATGCCACATTCAAAGTGGGCTGTATTGGAAAATACAGTGGTCTTAATGGTGGTACAGTTTTGAATATCAATGCGACATTAAAAGGGCATGTGTAAAAGAGAGGCGTGCTGTAATTACAAAATAACATTGAAATTTACCATTAGAATATTTCGCCTAAAAACACTGTAGTATCTGACATAACAGGCATTGCTAGAAAAGGGGTGAAGCTCTTTCCAAGGGGGGACAAGTACTCAGTAGAAGCAAATTTACAAACCATCAATTTTGAGGTATTTTTATGCAAACAGATAATTTTCATACCCTTTCCTGTGTGTTTGTTTAATCCCCCTTTCTAGTTTTTCCATTTTTGGCTTTTCCACATTCTGAAAAGTAGTATTTTGGTCAAGATTTTTTTGCTATTTCTGGCATCAGCTGAAATGGCTTTTGTTTCTGTTAAAATTTGGGGGGCTTTTTCTCAACTTGCAAAAAAAGGCATTCTCCTCCCCTCCCCCCCAAAATAAACTGTTCACTTTCTACACATTTTTTGTAGATCACTTTAGGCTATTTGCAAGTCAGTGTTTTTGTCACAGTTTCATCAAGGAAAACCTTAAGCATAAATGTTTCTCAAGACATGACGTCTTTATGACATCATTAGAGGTCACATGACGTGCCCTCAAAGTTAAATTCTTTGCAATCCTGTGTTTTCAGTTCCAATGCGTTCAACCTACCCAAACAGTCCTACATATGAGAATTTCCCTCAGTGCCTTTTGCTTAAAACTTGATCAACTGCATTGCACCCTCTTGTACCACAATGCATTGCAGCACCACTTCCATATTCGTTCTTTTTTTAAGCACCTTACTTTAATGAACATGTCAGTTTGGCATCTTCCAGTTTTTCAAATTTTCCGTATTCGCTACACGTTTCTGTATTGATTTGATAAACTGTAATTATCTACAAATGAAGCTCTTTCGTCATGTTTATAATTCTTTGTTTGTGGTAGGAGTGTTAGCTTCTATGTTCTTTTTGGTTGTTTCTGTTCTCTCTCATTTGTGCATGTCTGTAGGTTAACCACTTGCTGCCAGGTGTAATTTGAAGTTGCATGATGTAAACCCATGGATTTTCAAAATTTTCCATTTTCAAAATTTTACAAAAAATCATAACTTCATTTTAGTACTGGACGTTTACAACCACACGAATAACTGTCAGGTGGCTACTCTAATCTGACAGACAACATCTATTGATGCCCGAGTATTTCAGCCAGGCCTGCTGCCTTGTAAAAAGAGCCCAGATTGTGCTGGCATCTTTCAATAGGGGCCAGATTAGCTTGCAGCGATACTGTATCGCTCTTCACTGAATTGCTGGAGTGCTTTTGTTCCGGGTGGTAATCTACTCGCGCTGAATGCCACAAACAGTTGTATAATATTTCAAAACAATAATGCATTTCCTCCACTATTGACAACTGAAAAAATGTTTGGCAATTTTAGCAGCTCAGTCTTTTATTCCGAGTATGGTCTTTTGTTACAAGGCCCAGCTCTTTTGTCTGATTTTGGGCTCTCCAGTTTTGTGTGTAAAGCCTGCATGCTCGAAACCATGTCCTCGGCAGCAAGTGGTTAATCCACTGTCGGTACTATGAGGCATTCTCTATCCAAGTGTGACACAAGAAAATGCACGACAAGGATGGTGTACATTTACTGGTCTGGTTCTTTTAATGGCGTTGCTGCATTGCAGGAAAAGAAGACCCCCAGCCTTGGCTATCTCAAACTTCTGAAGAACTTGATGCTAGATGTAGTTATTTAGCAGGGTGAACTCTTAGTGTTTACTGGCTGAAGACTCAGAGTGCAATGAAACAAAGGACAATGTGCTACATAGGTGCCTAGAGGGGGTCACTAAATGAATTCACAAGGTCCTAGAGGGGGTCTCAGAATGAACTTGCACAAAACAGCTGACTTGGCACAGCCAACTGAGGGCGCTAGGCAAAGAATATAAAAAATGACCTGTCACACAAGCACTACATGTTAACCAACAGAAAGTCTGATCATCAATTTTATGTTTCAGAAAAGGGGCTAGTAGTACGTGAGATTCCAAAAATACCTGTACAGGATTTTTCATTAATTGTTCAAGATTTGTTGATATCCCAATGACTTTGTATTTGTGTTTCTGAAGTGTGACGCACCTGTGGATCAGGCCTACGTTACAATTGCGCTGTGTATTCTATGTGAGGAAACACAAATGTACAATCATTGTTATGATCACAGATTTTGCAAGGAAGTGAATCCATCTGAATGAGCAACAGTTATCATACTGCCCTCTCTTCATTGGCCTTTGTGCATGTCACAAACTTTACACGTCTACTGAATCAAAGGCCTTCATTGGATTTACGCTTGGCACTGTGTTTTCTATGTGAAGAAACACAAGTTTACTGTTACTGTGAAGAGGAATGATTTTTGGCTAGAATTAAATCCCCCTTGACAAGCAATTGCCTTGACATAACTGTCTTGTACTTCTGAATTGCAAGGACAATATTGTTCCAAAGAAGGTCCCTGTGCTATGATGCCTTATTTTAACAAACATGGGTGCAGATAATACTTACCATGACAGGTTTAGGCATCAAAGTAAAAAGTAACTTTTTTCTGTTTGCCCCTGCTGTAGGTATTGCATATCCAGCTGAAGTCAAAGACTGCACCATACTCTTATGATATCAGGGAGGCATATGTAGATGATGGGAAGCAAATCTCTGGCTCTTCAGTGGCTGCCTACTATAATAATCAGTTACTCATTGGCTCTGTCACTCACAAATTGGTACATTGTCAAGTACTGGCTTTCTAAAGTTTTATTAGTTTATCATTCCTGCCCCTAAGCAGTTACAGTCCATGTGATTTTTTTTAATTGTCCCACACGCCATTTGAATCTCCTATTGGGAAAGCAACTTAAGCTAGCAAAAAAGAACCATTTTTGAGACAGTGATGATAAGTGATTTAATAAAAACGTTCAACACAAAAGTGGAAGGTGGTTTAAAGCATGTACAGGCACCAAATTAATTCCAAGTATTTGTAAGTTGAGTACATGTGCTAAAACAAGGAAGCTGTCCGATGTATGTGTCTGTATAAAAGAGCCATACTCACATGCCTTCAACATTGAATGCTTTGGTTGGGTGGTACAGATGTTGCACCAGGAGCTCCTACCGTGCTGGTGTGCATAGTATTGATACCAAGATGGCTAAAGGTGGATGTCAGAAAGCATTAATAATTTGCCTTATAGATAAGAGCCCATTTGTGTTTTACCTACATTTAGTTCCTTTCAGTGAATCAACTTTTAGGGCACCCTCAATCATACCTCGCTTTTTCCAATCAAGTTTTATCGTCGACTCACTTTCTATTATTCTTCCATCCAACATTAAGTCATAATTCAACATAGATAAATCCAGGTTGATCCAATCTAATCCCAGGTTACCCTTCAATCATCCAAGATAAGTCATGAGTGTGATTTGGAAGAGTGAGTACATTTATCATCATCTTACAAGGATTTTTCCTAAGTGCTTTGTCTCATTTTGGCACGTTATAGCATGTGAATTATTGTACTTGACATTCACGTAGGTAGTTATAAGTTTATACATGCGCACGTACACTGTTAAAGTTTTATTTCCCATCATAAATTGAATATAAAGGCCTAAATTTTGCTCTTTGGTAATCAGTCATCAAAGTCAGATGCTGGCTATTGGAGTTTAATTTAAATAATTATTGATTATAGAGATGAACAAAGAAATTGACTGGAGCAGGATTTGAACCCGCAGCCTCCGGAATACTGTGCTCTACCAACTGAGTTATATAGCCCTATGTTGGTGGCTCTTCCCATCTGTGACCTGGTACTTTGAAATCTTGAATAAGTCACAAATTGACTTTTTGAGATGTGTAGGTCAGAAATAGAATTTCATTTTCAAATGGTACTCATTACAAGTGTATTGATGGTAACTTTCCATTCATACACTTCCAAAATATACAGAAACCGCCACATTGATTTTTTTTTCCAACATTTTCACTCAGCCATTATATAAAACAGCCTCAGCGACTTTTTCCTGATTACGATGTACCGGGTCACATTTGTCAATATCTTTGTGGGGGGAGCGCTAGCAAGAAGCCATTAAACCTGAAACACCATGAAGCCAGGGATCACGCCCCAATAACACAATACAATCTGGGGAGTGGCATACAGAGATCACTCAGAGAGGATACAGCATGATTATTGATAGATAAAGGTCATGTAAGCCCATGTACATGCACATGGCCAAATGGCCAAAAATACAAATGGCCAAACTTTGAAAAACTTTTTCTGCCCTGCAATAAGCTGATTTACTCCCATAAGACATGCACCCTGTGCTGGACCAAGAAAAGGCAAGCAACAGAGGCTCCTTTGGTAGGAATTCCACTTTGCTGGTTCACGAACACTCCTCTCCTGTATGGCTCTTTTGAATGGAGGGAGTGCTTCTGCTCAAGGCGGATACTAAGAGTAAGTGTTGTTTTTTCCCCTATTTTTTTTGCATATTACTGAGATGTAACATTTGAGGTACAAAATTTGGCAAGGATGATTTGAGTTTTCACACGTCAAAACAAATCCATAGGTCTCCAGTGGTGTGCATAACATTGTACATCTGTGAATTAAATTCTAAAACCTTGCATAATTTGTAAAGTAAAATATTGGGCGTGTTTGGTGAAGTAGGAGATCTTTGATGTGTTTCAAATGGCAGAATTTATATTCTAGTTTGTGACTTGACAGAAGAGGATTATTATATAACAAGCCTGTAACACGTTTGTAAATTGAGAATGAAAAATCATTCCTTAGACACACCACACATTTCAGAACCCTGCAAACTAGGTAATGATGTTTCTGTCCCATTTTTTTCTCAAAATGATAGGTTTATGACCATTGTTGGGAATTTTGTTTTGTTTTGCTTTTTTTAGATTGGAAGGGGAGGACTTTTGGGGGATCACTCAAGAGCAAACTAATAAACAGTTAAGGTTACAAGGGGGTCAGTGCAGAGGTGTTTTCAGCACTTCTTTTGATTTTGATGGTTCCTTTTTTATTTTTTGGGGGGACAAGCACGCCCATATTGCACCCTTCTTGCAGTGCTCTTACTCTTATTTAGTAAGAAAAATAGTAAGTGTAAGGTAACTATGTTTGACAAATTCATAATGAACAAATTTTGTGGCTTTGCATTTTACTAAATAATCCCTTCAATGTTGAACTATAGTAAGTGTTTGTCCTAAGAAAATGACAGACCAGTTAAGAGATACAAGTCACAAGTTACAGACTACTTAAAAACTTACATAGTTTGGCACACACTACTCTTTAACCCCTTAACGCCAGGACGTGTTAAGACACGCAGTAAAAATTGAGATCCTCAGCCCGCTTTTCAGCTATTATTCTTGGCCCACGCTCGAGCGAACACGGTGAAAGAAGGCAGACCCTGGCTCTTGTGTATATGGTAATTGGTCTTTGTGTTTAGCCCAGAAATGAAAAGACCGAATTTGCATCATAATCACCAGCTTCACAATAGTCCCCACTTTGAAAAGAGGCAACGGGAATGTGAAAGCGTGCAGAGCACGCTGGGCCACAAACCGAGAATTTGCAATTTGGCAGGAGGCCTTCATGGCCAAGCGAGGCTGGAATTCGAGCGAGTCAGCTTTCGGAAAGAAATTCCTGCCGAGAAGAGGTTAACTGCATTGTCCCTTAACTTTAGAGTACTAAAGTGAATATGTCAGGTGCGTAAATGGTATTAGCAACAGAACAACCAACACACACTTACTGCATTTGTTTGCACTACACTTCCCTGTCCAAATGGCATCACACTTTGGTATCACACTTTGGTATGCAAGGTGGCTGTTGAAACCATATCATTAGCATAAGTGTATGAAACTTTTTCACTGCTTTTGCTGTCGTCAACGAGTGCCATCTTGTTTAAATGGAAATGGTCACAAAGCTCTCAAATCAATGCGCATATTTCTTATTATTTCTAAATTTAGTGGAAGTAAACCCAACGTAATAAAAGCAAGTCATTTAATCTTAGAAGTTAGAGCTAAGGTATTTCAATTTTTATCTTAAATTGTGTGTAATTTGCTGTGTGAAGACATTATCTTGTAAAGACATCGCAAATGCATCCCAGCATAAAGTTCAATGTATGAGCATGCTTATCCTTGTGTGGATCTGATGGAAACCCAATGTATACATAATGCTGGTACTGGTAGTGGGATGCTGTGTGGACTTGCCCATTAATTAAAAGAGAGAACAGCATGAGGAAACATAATATAAATCCAGCTTAAAGTTGATCCACTAGGTTACTGATGATTTTCCTGAGTGTACAAAAATAAAGTGCGACACCTTGAAATGTGACACGACAAGGACGGTGTACATTATTGTGTCTTGTGTCTGGTTCTTTATTGGTGACTGCATCTTAAAAAGGTGGGAAACTGAAACCCTGAAAAGATACCAAAATTAGAATTTCCATATAAATACAATGCTCTAGGAAAGACCAATCCAGCAAAGTAAATTATAAGAAGAAACCTAATAATCCTCAAGAATCTAGTGCAATCAATAGAGATGAATCAAACTCAATGACACACTTTGCTTCTAACAGTAGAGTCAAGTTAAATTCCAAAAATGAACTAATACAAGGCATGTGAATGCTTTAACTTTCAAAGACAAAAATGGGAAACAACTAAAGCAAGTGTATATACCATGATCTCTGGGTACATGTATACTATGGATTCAGCAAAGCATAGACTCAATACAGTCCACTCATCATCATAACCTAAGGATTCATAAAGACAAACTTAGCATAAATGAAATTGCAAAGAACAACATTATGTCAAAATAACATGACAAAATAATTAGCAAACCAATATGCGGATCGCACTCTTAATTAAGTGTGAAAAAGAGAAATTATGTGTATATGCTGCATCACATAACTTGAGGACTAGTGTGCCAGTCTAATAAAACACTGCTGGTATCTTAATTCTCATGCTCCATTAAGCACTGGACAAAGAAATCTCTACAGGGCAATAAACACTGGCAGACTTCCTGCCTCCCTGCACTAAGGTATGGTGTCTTGCAAGAAACTGTGTGCAGTGTCATTATATATGCTTTACTTAAAACTTAAAAGCTTAAGGCTCTACTGGTGGCTATACTATACTGCACTATAGACATCTACACAGAACAAAGGAACTATAAATTTATACACTAAAAGCATGAATCTAAGAATATAAACTTGAAAAGTGGAGAGTTGAGTTATATGTATACAGTAAAATAAGGAAACCAATTCTTGAACTTTGCGTACTTGAGAAGTCAACTAAATGTGAACAAGAAATAAAGTGAATATAAATCGAAGTAAGGAAATTCTAATTCCTTCAAATCCATGGAAATAGAATAATTCTGTAAAAAAGAAAGTCATCAAAAGGGTGATCTTTCCTTAATATGCAATAGCTACAACAACACAGAATCTAGGTTTCCTAAGACTATCATCAATGAATCCACTCTTTCAATAACCAGAGTAACACTTGAGCTAACCTCCAAATTAATCAGAAAGTGTTCACAGAGGCTAAAAGACTAAGAAACTTTAAAGATAAGAACAATTACTAAACATAATACATTGTAAATGAATTCTTACTCCAGTGGAGTCGTCCAAGGAATCTTGAGGCAACTAAGTAACTGTACATGTGTGGAGAATAACGCAAAATGCTATGTGTGGTCTGAATAGTACCAGTGCTGGTGGTGGAATGACTCACTCAAGACAAAGGCTAAGTCTGAGGTTTACCTCAATGGTAAAGCGAGGGTGCTGC